AGGAGCACCACAAGCTCTGTAAAGCGAGCCCAGTCGTTGTGTCTCCCGGCTGGCAGGCCCACACAGCGCGCATAGCTCCACAAGCAGCGCCCTAGACCTGCAAACCCCAAAGCCATTACACCCAATGCCAGCGGATGCATGGTCCCATACGCCCACATGGACGCGAAAAAGCGCCACCAAGAGCGGAGCGGCGCCAGCAAAGCGAAGCAAGCGCGGCGAAGCAAACCGAGCAGAGCGCCCCAAAACGTAGCGGAGGGCGGGGGGGCCAAAATATGATCCCATGTACTGTTAACGGCGGGCACGGTGATGGCAAAGTCGCGAGCGATGCGAAGAACCTGTTCATATTCATCCGCCGCATTCCAACCTGCCAGTTGCCACACGGGGTTGGCCCAGCGAGGCGAGAAAACCATGCGTAGAAGGCGAAACTCGAAGACCACAAGGCCTGAAGAGGCGTACGACACGACCCCAGAGGCCACCCAGTAGTCACCTGACGCCACCAGAGCCTCGGTCTCTGCAGCAACCACCGGCAGGCGAAAAGTCTGAGAATGCAGCAGACCCTGCCAGAAGAGAAGAGCNNTCTCCGAAAACAACCACTGCTCAATGGCCGACGCGTCGTCGCCCATCACGCGCCCGACAATCTTGGTGGCGTTCATATCCACAAGGTCCACACCAATCCAAGCGGCATGCGCCACACCCAAGGTGTTGAAAGAAGCTGCACGAACTGCACTCGTAGAGGCCGTCACCAACTGAGTGCCACCATCCAGGATGGACGAGAGTGCCCCAGCCGCACTCTCTCCAACGCTCGCAGTGGACGCCAACAGGCGTTGGATAGGCGCAAGCATCTCACGCAGAGGCCCCGCTGCCAGCACGTAGGCCACACAGCACCAAAGAAGCAGCGCTCGCATCCGCTTCAAAGCTTTACCGCCAGACTTCCAGAGCCAACTGCACCAAGTGACGGGCTTCCTGCGCTGCTGCCCCCTTCTTGAGCCCTCACTCAGGCCGGCGCCGCCCGCAACAGCCGAACCACCGACCGAGCCAAGATGAGCGCGAGCTTCTCGAGAGAGCACGGAGGTGCCGTCGATCTTGGGCCGTCGCCCGGCGGGGCGGGCCTGCACGACCCGCGGTGGGGGCGTCATGGCTCTGGAACGTCTTGTCGCTACTGCTCGCTCCGGGCTGTTGTGCAGCTGCTCG